TTCACGGTATAAAATAACACAGCTGTCATATGGTAAGAACATTAATAAAATTCATTTACACACCAGGATATCTTCTGAAAATCAGATTTCTGATAGTGTTGGCCAAAACTGTATTGACTGGGGAGATAGTCCAGGGGGAAGGCACTTGCATTGCATGCAAACTAGACTGGTTCTTTCCACAACACTATATTTGGTCCCCTGGGTTTAACCAAGAGTGACTCATGTTAGAGCTTAGAGTAAGCCCTGAGCACTACACAGTGCAGCCCAAACAACGTCCCACCACCACCGCCCAATTTAAAAAGTGATATACAAAAACAAAGAACTGTATGTGTTCATTGCCTTACAAACAAATCTGAAAAAAAAAGTAAAATCATTTCTTTATTCCAGGAGGATATTGTGTTCATACACACAAAGCAGCTAAAAAAATATCTGTGCTGCTCTTTACAATAGCCAGAAACTGGAAGAAACCTGAATGCCCAAGAACAGATGACTGGTTAAAGAAACTTTGGTACATCTACACAATGGAGTACTATGTAGCTGTTAGAAAAGATGAAGTCATGAAATTTACATACAAGTGGTACAACATGGAAAGTATCATGCTAAGCGAAATGAGTCAGAAAGAGAGGGATAGACATAGAAAGATTGCATTCATCTGGGGGATATAAAGAAACAAATTATGAGATTAATACCCAAGAATAGCTGAGATCAACACCAGGAGGATTACTCCATAGCTTAGAGGCCAGCCGGGAATTCTAGGGGAAAGGGCAGCTCAGATAGAGAAGGGAGCACCAAATAAAGGGTGTTTGGAGGATCCTCCCAGGAGGGGAGATGCATGTTGAAAGTAGACTATGGGCTGAACATGTTTGCCACTCAATGCCTCTTTTGCAGACCACAACGCCCAAAAGGAGAGAGAGAACAAAAGGGATTGCCCTGCCACAGAGGCAGGGTGAGATGGGGGGATGGGGGTGGGAGGGATATTATCCATGGTGGCGGAAAATGGGCACTGGTGTAGGGATGGGTATTTTATCATTGTATAATAGAAACCCAAGCACAAAAAAATTATAAATCTACAACTGTACCTCATGGTGTTTCACTAATAAAAAAAAAAGAAAAAAATCTGTGCTGAACTTAAATGCTAAATAGCAGGTGGAGTAATAATTTTTTTATTGTATCTGTAGTGAACCTGCCTGCTTGATGCCAAAAACAAGTCCTCTCCATATTCATCTAAATTATTGCATATACATTCACTAGTACTAATAATTTTTTGACAGAGCTTTTATTGGTATGAAATATTCTGTACCTACAGTATATGGTACTTAAGCTGATGACAAAGAACTGATGTAGTTATTACAAGGAAACAATATTTTAAATGTATGTATATATGGCTGTATATATATATACATTCAATTAAGTACATACTGTCTATATGCTTTATAAATTATATATTTACCACTTTTGTAATAAATTTTTCATGAAAATGCTGGCAGCTTTATTATTTCAAGAAGAATTTTAAGTCTCTTAAAAACTTCAGACGCCAAGTTTTAAAGCACCATGATATATATTACTTTCTCAGCATCTCCTCTCCCCAAGTTTTTATGCATCGCCTCTCTCAGAAGAATCTTATTCTATCAAACACGCTATACCTAAAGAGGTCTTTTCAATGTTATAAAGTGTATGAGTGCACCTGAAAAGGTATTTGATATGGATATCTGCATATCTATAGATTCTCTTCCTGTTCGGATTGGCAACGGAGCAGATGCAATGCTTTCTGTTCAGCAATGTGCTTCTTTTCTCCACTTTTCTTTTGCTACTTACTGAGCAACCAAATCGAAGTGGAGAGCTCATTCTTTAAAAGAGACAGTTAAGGAGATAAAAGATGCTCTCCCACTGTTCTACCGCCACAATTTTACAATCACAGATGTTTCCTGGGTGAATGAACTTTATCCTTTGTGTAGGTGAGTTATTTAAGTAAAAGTGTTGAGGAGGCTGCTTTGTGAGCTAGAAAACGACAAAAAGGAACCTGAATTAATGCCAGATCAGTATGGTTCCACACTAGTGAAAGACAACTGTCTCCAAGTCACGCAAGTGAGACGGTTCGGTCGTACAGAGCAGAAACACACTCTCAGGACAAAAGTGAAGGTGTGATAGATAGTCTCATACTCTTCCTATGACTCCGGCATTCAAATATCCCCTGCTTCCCTTGCTCTATTTCCCATGGGGACAGGGAGGTGGGTGAGGGACACTGGGACAATGGTAGAAGGAGGCTGACATTTGGGTGGAGTGTGTGGAGCTAGGAAAGTTCATGCATGAAATCCTACTAACAAATGGCAAACCACAGTGCTCAAAATATATATATATATATATACATATATATGTATATATACATATATATTTGGTTTAGACTAAATGGTTTAAATCTTTATCAAAAATTCATTCTGTGGTCATAGCAGAAGATTTTTTTAAAAATAAAGCTATTGTGTGACTATTATACAATGCTTGCTAACTAAAAACCCATGGATTCTCAAAAGCTATTTTCACATAAGTAAAGACAGCTAAAATGTCCTTTGCATGAAAATGACTTTGGTTAAAATCTTTATTTGCCCTGCCTAATTACTAATTGTCCAAGTCAACTAATGAATTTGTTGCTTGCAAGTGTCTCTGAGCCCATTTAAGCTTAAGAAAATAGTTCCACAAAATTAAACCCATGAGATCTATGTATAAAATAGCCCAAAGAAGTAAAATCATAAAGCATTCTGTTGCTTGTCACATAAAAGCTACACCAGGCAGTTTTTCTTCATGCTCTCTGCCTATAAAACAATCCCTGGAACCTAGCCGATATCTCTTCTGCTCACTCACATAAATGGTACCCCCAACCTACTGATGAATCTCCTTTATTGGAGAAGCAATTCTGCCATGGCGGTATCCTTTTCCATGCAGAAAATGTCTACATTTTGAAGGTGAATTCACTCCATCATTTATATCAATATCACCTGCAAAACAATGGCCACCATTTTAATTCTTTGGGAATAATTCCATCTTTGGTTAGATGACATCTTTTATATTATTTTATTTTCGTAATATATGCTTGTAACGTGTTTTTGAGGGTGAGTAGTTGTTTATCCCTTCAAGTTATATGAAGCTCTTGTTAAAAACAATCACATATGAGAGAACAATTATTTTCCCATTATTAAATTTTTGTTACAATTAAAGAAGGTACAACCTTCTGAAAAGACTTGAAATACCAAACTTTGAGTCTCATATAAGTTTTTGTCATAAAAAATACTCATATGACTCTCAAAAAGTTTCTAAAAGTCTTTTAGAAAATAGAGAGAGAAAATAAAGATGGAAAATAAAGAGCTAGAGAGGGAGGGAGAGAGATAGATACAGAATATCTTTATTGAGGAAGTAAAGGAGAGGCGCCTTTCATTAAAATAAGAAAGGGAAAAATGTTGGTAATTAGTTATGATTTCTTACATTATTTCCATTTTATAAGCTATTTTAAATCAATCTAATAATAGCGATCTTGTAGAAATTTAACACTAAAAACACAGGTGAACTAATTCTAATCCCTTAACAAGATAAATTTGTTGCCCATGGACTAGAATGCTTTAAATTGTCTTTAAATTGTCTATGTCTTCAGCCCTCATTTAAAAGAATGAAAGTCGGAGAAATAGTATTGCAGGTGGTGTGCTTGCCTTGCATGAGATTGGCCAGGGTTCAATTCCCAGCATCCCATAAGGTCCCCAGGTCACTGCCAGGACTAACCTCTGAACATTGACTGATGTGGTCCCAAAACAAGTGTACCAGTTAGGAAGCACAATCTAGATTTTATACCAAAATTACAGTACCTGAGTACAATTCATCCTACTAAATTATATCTCTTTTATCATTATCTCTTTACAATACTGTTCCATTATAGTCTCTGCTTATACTTTCCACTTATGTAAAATATTAAAATAATTGCTGGGGAAAACACATCTGCTTTATGTTTCATTACCAAGTGTTTTATGTAACTATTTTGATTGCAAATAGTTGGATACGTGTCCTGGAGGGGGTAAAAAGTCTTTGAAATTTAGGATTAATAACTTTTTTAAAGCAACCAGAAGTTTAAATTTCAAATATATAATTTCTAGATAATTAACAAAAATACACATTTTATGAAAAAATATATTATTTCTATATTTAAGAAAAAATTGATCTATTAAGAATTGAAAAATGAATACAATCTTTTTTTTCCCCTCATCTATTTTTCCTCACCTGTGCCAATCATGGTGAGTTAATTCAATCATCCCACAATCATCCCACTGGTTTCATTATGAAAACTTTTCAAATTTTCCCTATAATTTTTATTGCATGGCTTCTAATTATATAGAAATTTATCTGCTTGAAAGTCTAAAAACCATCCATGAACATAAATATTTCTGATAAAACCTTGGGGTAAAAATATGAAAAGGAAATCTTAGTAGAAATAAAGCAAAAAAAACAGCAAAATTAAGATATCATGAACTCTTCATGCAGTTTACATTTTTCATTCTATTACAATGGAATTACATTTTTTTTAAAAAAAAAAACAGCCTGTTTGGGAAAAATTTAATCTTTGGAGTAGCCAATATTGAGTTTTCAATAGAATAATATGAGTGATAGAACACAAATAATATCAATAAAGTCTGATCAGTGGAAAATCATAGAATACCAAAATTTTCAAAGCCCTTCAATCAGGCTAAATTATATAATTAGGTGTTTATTATTCCTTCCTGATTGGATGTCTTTAAAGCCATAAGAATTAGAAGCTGAAGCACTTAGGGAAAGGTATGACAATATTAATCACTAATATAATGAGTATAGTTTCTCCTTACAAAAGAAATATCTTGCACTATTTTTTCTAAATATTTTTAAGATGAATTTTGGCTCAAGAGAAAGAAAGAAAGAAAGAAATTCCAAGTCATGGAAATATTTCAATCTATTGCCATCTCCAAATTATCTCCAAAGCTAAGACACAGTTTGTTTCTTCAAGATTTTATTGCTTTTAGAAAAATAATACACGCTTTTCTATCATCCTATAACTCTATGCTTTCTTAGGTTAAGTGCTCTATAATAAATGTTATATAATAATCTCTAAATGTATAAGAAAGTCTATAATAGGAATTAGCCTTATTCTTTTTTATCTTTTATAGAGATAAATTGCCAATTGTCCTCAGTGCAAATCCTCCTTTATCCTTTTACTTAATTTGTCTAAATGACTTTTTAAAACACCACCACCCCCAAAAAAGTCATTATCCCTTAGTAATTAGCCAAAGTCATCTAGTCTTTCCAAAAGGCTATTGTTTCAAAATTCAGTAGGTAGCTTTCAACCATATTGTCACATTATGTTTAGCAATAACTATATGCTTAGTGTTCAAGTATTATGCCCTTCATTCTTCTCTTATAATCGACATATTCTCTTTCTGATAAACTCCTCTATGCTACAGTAGCAGCATCCTTGCTTTGCTCATTGTTATCATTTTCCTCTGGACCGGTGACTTTCACTTCTGGCCTCGGTGGTCTCTGGGGGTCTGAGTCTGCCTGGAGGGAAATAGAATCAAAACACGATATTTAGCCCTTCGTAGCTACAAACATCTTAAAATTAGCAAGAAAAAAATAATAAACTTAAAATTCTATTTCATCATAAAAATATGCAACGAACAATAGTTCCTTGGGTTTTATTTTTCAGTCCCTCACTACCCAGCAGAAACACTTTTCCCTATACCTTGCTGGTCCAGAGGCACAGAGTCATTTCTGGAACCGAAGGTCTCTCTCTCTCTCTCTTTCTCTCTCTCTCTCTGTCTTTCTCTCTTTCTCTCTCTGTCTGTCTCTCTCTTCTCTCTCTCCTTCCTCTCTCTCTCCTCTCTCTCATCCTCCCTCACTCTCCCGCCCATCCTCTCTCTCTTTCTTTCTTTCTTTCTTTCTTTCTTTCTTTCTTTCTGCCTGCCTGTCTGTCTTTCTTTCTCTTTCTTTTTCTTTCTTTCTTTCTTTCTTTCTTTCTTTCTTTCTTTCTTTCTTTTCCCCCTTCCTTCCTTCCTTTCTTCCTTCCTTCCTTCCTCCTTTCCCTCCATCCTTCTTTCCTTCCTTCCTTCCTTCCTTCCTTCCTTTCTTTCTTTCTTTCTTTCTTTCTCTCTCTTTATTTCATATTGAACTAACTTTTCTTTTGAACAGTTTAGTCATACTTTCATGTCAGTGTTCACTGAGGAAAAGGAAGAGAAAGATGCTGGCATTCTCCTTTTAACTCACAATCCAGCCCAATACCCAATGCTCTTCTGAGCATTGCAGAGAGTGAGAGTGGGTGGAGGGGGGGGGGAGATTTCCTATTCTTTGTGATTCTGGTGCCAAGTACCAAGTAGAGAAGAGCAAGACAGAAGACCCAATCACAGAAGCAACTTTTCTCCTCCAGCAACCACTATGTCATTAACCACCTCTCACAACTTGCCTTCCCCCCACCCCCAACTAGTTTGCAAACTAAGCTGAGGCGAGGAGGATGACGGAGCTGGTGTTTAAATTCCACTCCAAGAAATTCCAGAGACTCTGAAAACCTCCCAGGATCTACCCATGTGTAGGACAATATGACTAGCTCCATATCCCACTGACAGTAGACTAAGGACCAAAAATGATGGCCTCTACGTATCTGTATTGCAAACTAAGATGCCAAAAAATAGAGAGAGAATAAGAAAGAAATTGTCTTCCACAGAGGCAGGGGATGGGATGGACTGGGGGTGGCGGGAAGGATACTGGAAACATTGGTGGTGGGAAATGCACACTGGGGAAGGGATGGGTGTTTGATCATTGTATGACTGAAACTCACTCATGAAAGCTTTGTAACTGTATCTCAGGGTGATTCAATAAATGAAATTTGAAAGAAACATAGCTATTATTGAGGCTATCATCCCACATTGCTATCTTGCAAAGTCTAAAATACTGAGTTATCTTAAACTGAGTGGAAGGAGGTCAGGACAGACTGCCCAAAGATGCCAGCACTGGTGTCCTCCAGATGCTGCATTCTAAACTGGAGCCCAGGCTAAGGGAAAGCTCAGGACTCTACCCTTGTCAGAGAAGGCATGCCACTCCTGACCCAGAAAAACGAAGACTGGGTCAGCTACACAAATGAACTCTCCATCTGAAAAATTTACCTGTATTTGCAAAACAAATATGAATCACCTTTTTCTTGCGATATGAACCCCCATCCCTCTCCTTGATAGTCCAGTGCAGACCTTTGTCCCACTAAATGACTCAAAAATAAATGACCTCCATCTGTCCCGTGTACTCTACATTACACAGTCATGTGCCTGTCCTTGCCTGTGTAATTAAATGTGTCCTTTCTCTTTTACTGTCTGATGTTGATCTCTCTGCTTGAACAGGCTGAAACATCCTCAGAGGCTCAAGAGAAAATGTCCCTCGTGTCCCTATACAGCTCAAGCTCAATAAATGTTGACCAATTGCTATATATTTATCACATATTTCCTGCTGCTTTTCCTACAATCATTTCATATTTTGACTAAGATCTTCTCCATAGAACAAAATGTAATATGGTAAGCAAATTTTAAATCATTTATATAAGAAAAGTACTCTTTGGTTTAAAAAAAATTAATATCTAATTTTAATCATATAAACCTGGTTTTTCATATATTTGGTGTGCTTACAGCATACCAATATTAATACATTTGGGTAAAATGGAAATAAAATGTATCATCATTGTAAAAAGTGAGTCAAATAGATCAAATCTCTTTTTGTGTGATTACTCTTTTTCCCCCTTCAATTTTTGAGACACCATGGTTTAAATTACCATTAATAATAAAGCTTCAGACATACAATATTCTAACACTACACCTACTACCAGAGTGTCACCATCCCTCTGCCAACATTTCAAGGTCCTTTCCTATCTATCTCTGACCTCATCCCCTTTCTAAATTCAGTTCTGACTTTTGGATCTATTATTATTGTCAAACTGTTATTCTCTTATTAGGCTTCTTTATATTACACATATGAAAGAGACCATTCTGCATTTGTGTCTCTCATCCTGACTGACTTCCCTTAGCATCCATGTGGTAGTAGAAATCACATGATTTCTTCTGGATAGTATTCCATTGTATATAGATATGTTCTCCATCCACTCATCTATTCTTGGGCACCTATATTGTTTCTTAGCTATTGTGAATAGCACTACAACGAACACAGAAGTATAACTTTCCTTTCAAATAGTGTTTTGGTTGAGCTTCAGTATAATTGCCAAGAAGTAGATCTGTTGGGTCATATAGATGCTCAATTCTAATTTTTTGGAGATGTCTCCTTACCCTTTTTCATAGAGGCTGAACCAGATGACACTCCCACCAACTCTAAGTGAGGGGTGTATGACTATTCTTTCCGTAGCTTTTGTATCGTACTGAAAATCTCTAACTAGTCACATAGCTGGCACCAGTTGGTGTTCCTAAGAATTTAGATTTTCCCTGAGTATACATAAGTGTATTGCAAATTACAAAAACTAGACCTTGACTAATGTGCAATTCCAATAGAAGGCCAACTTTTAAGTTTTATTTATGAAATATGTATAAAGTTTTAATTTTTATTTATGAAAGATGGCAGGCAATCTATTAATATCTATTAGAACCAATATTTCCTAAAGTAGGTGATAACTGCCCCAGGATAAAGATGCAGGGAGGCTGTTGAAACCTCAGGTGCAATGGCGGGGGGTGGGGGGCGGTAACTCTTTTCACCATAGAAAGAGATCTCTAAGGGACCACTGAAGGGAGGTGGTAAGTCAAATAAGTTTGAGATCCTCTGAGCTAGATGATTGGGGGGGGGGTCGTGTTTGGAGATTCCAAACTAGGTTTCTACAGTGGTTCTTCATGCTGTAAACTTCCATCCCAGTCCACTGTAACAAAGAGCCTTACTTCATGAAACCTATTATTGCAGCTATTATATAAATGACACCATTACATTATTGCGTTTCTATTACACTATTTTTCTCCCAGAAGAAAGCACATTTCCTTTAAGAAACTGGTTTGTCTGGGTTATTTTTGTTTGGTTTGGCTTTGGTTTTCTTTTGCTTTCCTTGAGAAATTCATTTATTTCCTGATTAAGGAAAGGGGAATTATATAATTCACTAAATTATTTTTTCCATTTCAGCTGCAAACAACTACAAATTTTAATAATACAGAGCTACCTGCAAGAAGTAGCAAGTAGGACTATGATTACGCCAGCTTAAGAAAAGATGAAATGAGAAACTTCTGAAAAGTTTGCTTTTGGATGCTGACAATGTTTTTTTTACTAATCTATCCAGCAGGTTATAGATAATTGTGTACTGCTATGGAAACTTGACCCCAAGGACATATTGTATTTTTCCATTACTAACTTGGTCTTCCTAAGCAAGATAAAGCAGAAGAGTCAATCATAAATAAACAAGAAGCCACCACTCATCATAGTAAGTGTCAGCAGCGAATGAACTAGAATCCATTTGAGAAGCTTCAGCCTGAGGGGAGAAGAACCCTGATCTGAGGAATACACCGAAAGGAAGGATATAAACAGATGGTGAAATGCTGTGAATACAGCCTGTCTCTTTATTTTATTTTTATTCTTTTTTTTCTTTTCGTGTCACACCTAGTGATGCTCAGGGGTTACTCCTGGCTCTGCACTCAGGAATTACTCCTGGCAGTGATGGGGAGACAATATGGGATGCCAGTGATCGAACCCAGTTGGCCGCATGCAAGGCAAACACCCTACCCGCTGTACTATGACTCCGGCCCCTACCCTGTCTCTAGACTCTGAAACTCAATGTGAGCCTAGTAGCAATTGGTACCTATTGATCAGCATGTAACATAATCTTATCCTTTGAATTTTTATCCTATCCTATCTATCTATCTATCTTCTATCTATCCTGTAGAATAATTCCAAGATTTGAAATTATCCTGTCCTGGGCCAGTTGTAGGAAAATGAGCTAGGAATTTCTTTAGTCTCTCCTTTATAATAAATAGAACCATGTCGATAAGCGCCAGGTCTGCTGAGTATTGATTCAATTAATTCATTTGAATCAATCTAAAAAAAATTTAAATCCTAAAATTCCTAAAAAATCAAAGAAGTCACCCATAGCAGAGATAATGTTTATTATGTTGCACCTTGGTCTCACTCATCTTTATATTTTTTTCTGGTTTATATTTTCCTTAGTCTTCATGGATGGATGAATGGATGGGTGGGCGGATGGATGGAAAGGTAAATGGTAAAACAAAAGAAGAGACTTATGGATGACAGGGCTTGCTAGCTGAAATAACATAGTCAATGAAATTCACTTATAAATGGATGGGCATGGAGATTATCATGCTAATTGAAACAAGTTTCAATTATCATGCTTAATTGAAACAAGTCAGAAGGAGAGGGACAGACATAGAATAACTATACTCATTTGTGGGATATAAGATAACATAGCATGAGAATAACACCTAAGGACAGTAGAACCAAGGGCCAGGAGGATTGGCCCACAGTTGGAAACCTGTGTCAAGTGCTGGGGGAAGAGGCTGGGATAGAGAATGGACCACTGAGACAATGATGGTTGGAGGAATCACTCTGGATGGGAGATGTGTGCTGAAAGTAGGCAAAGGACCGAACATGATGGCCTCTCAGTATCTGTACTGCAAACTAAAATGCCCACAAGTAGCAGAAAAGAAAAAAAGTGCCTGCTGGGGGGGGTGGGAGTTGATGGGGGAGGGGAGGGGAGAAGAGGGTGACAAGAGGGATACTGGGGATTTCGGTGGTGGGAAATACACACTGGTGGAGAGACGGGTGTTGGAATATTGTAGGACTGAAACTCAATCATGAACAAATTTGAGACCTGTGTATCTCACAGTGATTCAATAAAAAACGTAAATAACATAGTCAAATAAATGATACTTAATACTTTCCTAATCAATGTAAGTGGTTTCAGTGTAAGTCCTGAGTGCATGCATCATTCCCTCCCTACGTGTGCACCCAGGCACAAATGTGCACACGTAGGCTCACACATTCAAACATCCACACCAGTGAGATAAACTAATAGAAATACCTCATCTTGTCCATTGCCAGCCCCTTGAGACTTGACTTCTGCTTCCTGCTGCTCATTAACCTGGTCCAGCTCCTCACCATTCTCTTCATTGGTTCCTCCATTCACACGAGCAGGGCCTGCCTGCTCCTCTTTATTATCTGGAACTTTCTCTGCTGGCTCAGGGGCTTCACCGCCTCCTTCCTCTTCAATGTCACCATTCATTCCCGAAAAGTCTTCTTTCTGTTCCCCATCCTTCTTTTCTTTCTCTCCATCTTCTTCCTCCACTATTTCTGCTGGCCTCTGATGAAATCAAAAAGAAGGTGTAAAGGTAAGAAGCAAAAAAAAAAAAAAACCAGATTTCCTTTTGGTGTATTATAATAATGTGATAATCATTTTCATGCATTCAAGTAGAACTTCTTTACATGTATACATAGTACTTTACAGACATATGTTCATTGCCACTGAATATCTACTATATATCACTCTTCATATTTCTCACTTAATCCTCATAAAAATCCCTCGTTATTCCCTTTCATAGCTAGAACAAATGTGCAGATCACTTTTCCACTGCTTATAAGTAGAAGAGGCATAATGAACACTACACTTGTGATTTCAGAATCGGTACTTTGCCTCGCAGTGACAGCAGAGGAAATTGCAATATTTAGGTACAACATCTACTGGAATGTCCAGTCCAAAGAGAAGGGAAAGCAAAGTCTATTAGAGATTATGATTCTCACTGCAAGTGCCTGGCAGCTCTGCCAATCTCTAACTACATAGAAAAACATATGCTAAGGGAAACACAGTGGTGCCAGCATATGAACCCAGGTTTTCTGATACACAGCACACAGAGCTTTCTATACAAAGCATAAGTGAGTTAACAGTATATCTGTATAAACAAACCAAAAAAATCAAACAAAAAAATCACTGAACAAGAGCCAAGAAATTTGACACCCTTTCTAAGAAAGTAATAAATACTCAAACAATTCTGATAAACACTGCCATTATTTAAGTACATGTAAATCAACCATAAAAGAGAACAAAGGAACAAGTTCTAGAGAAGATTTTGGAGAGAAAAAGAATCCAGGTTCAAGTTGCCAGTTATCAGATGCTCCAGAATTTCTGTACTCCAGTCATAAAATGGAAATAGGTGAATAATGAAATGAGATAGTGTTTAAATGAAATAAGTTCTATACAGTGTCTCACGTATTACCTGACATATCGTGGATCCTAAAACTAACAAACAAAATCATTAAAATTCTTTTCGGAAACAATCCTGTTTCTCTGCTGTCCATAATAAAATAATACTACTTTTAAAAGCTAAGGTAGTAAGAAGACAGGCTTCTTTGTTCTCTGTCAGAGTCCCCGATGTGAGTCTTTTGCAGTTATCTGACTTTGAATAGTGTACTCAACCCTTCGGCATTTGTAAACTGGGATCTGAGACATAATTGGTTTCAACTTCCTTCCCTGCTCTAGAAGCAGATGCTCTAACTTCCCAAACACCTGCCCCATGGGAAAGAGCATCTCTTACAAGTTATCGTCATCTACTGCATGTCCTGGGAAGGATAGAAGGGGCCACAGGAAGAAACAGACTCAAAGCCGAGGACAAAATAAAATAGTTGAAGTCCCACATTCTTATAATGTGCCACAAATGGTCTCAAACACGATATCAAAAATGTGCTTTACAAAATGCAGGGGGTGTGGGTATCTTGAGTTTAAAACGTCTTCCAAAACACAGTGTTGATCATCAGACACAATTATAAAGCAAGGAACTGAGGCTGACTCGCTCTCTTGGTGATTCTTACTGTCGAATAGTTTAGGGCTCCCTACATCCCAAAGTGATTTGCTCAAACAGGACAGGGAAGGAAGGCTTAATATTGGACAAAAACTAACAATGTGGGGCTGGAGAGATAGCACAGCAGGTAGGGCATTTGCCTTGCACGAGGCTGACCTGGGTTCGATTCTCAGCATCCCATATGGTTTACTGAACACCGCCAGGAGTAACTCGTGAGTGCAGAGCCAGGAGTAACCCTTGTGCATCGCTGGGTGTGACCCAAAAAGCAAAAAAAAAAAAAAAAAAGAAGAAGAAGAAGAAGAAGAAGAATGGGAGGAGAGGGGAATGGGGAGAGGACAGAGAAGCCGGGGGGGGGGGGGGGGGTGAGGGGGGGGAGTCAGCCTGCCAGCTGGTGCTAAAGGATAAAAACATTAAAAACAGAACAAGTGGGACTGGAGCGATAGAACAGTGGGTAGGGCATTTGTCTTGCATGCGGCCGATCTGGGTTCCATTCCCAGCATCCCATTTGGTCCCCTGAGCACCACCAGGAGTAATTCCTGAGTGCAGAGGCAGAACTAAACCCTGTGTGTCGCCGGGTGTGACTCAAAAAGCAAAAAGCAAAACAAACATACAAACAAACAAAACAGAAGTAAGAAGCCTCACCCAGCAAACTTGGGAAGGACTTCTGGGGTTTCTGTATAAAACCTAAATGAAGGAAGGCAAGAAAAAGATCTCCAGTTTACAAGGAAGAAAACTGTATGGTTCCATCGGCATGCACAGTGCTCTTCTCTGGAGGGAGCATGGCAAAGTCTTGAGGCGGACATGTTTTGAAATGAAGCATAGAGGAGAGTTGGGCAAGATGGAGGGCAAGCTCAGTTATAAAAGCAGAGCAACACCCTAGCTCTGGGTGGTGTTTATTATGCCTCTGGGGGGATGCAGCTGTTCCCTGGCAGTGCTGAGGAGGAGGGGAGTGTTCATCTAATGAGACAATTTGGGGCTTCAGAAGATAATTCTCCAGTAAAAGTGCAAGAAATGAGGTTTCTCAGACCCATAGAGTGCAAATTCCTTTCTCAGTGGTTCTGCAAGGTTGAGGGTAGTCACTGCGGGAAGCTCAGAGACACTGGAGTGGCGGGACTCTCAGTTACTGTGACTTGAATAAATGCCTTCCCCGAACATCATTTTTGGGTGCAGAGCAGACAAGGTGAGAAGCTCAGCAGAGCAGGTGTCCCCTGCTGAGACACCTGGAGGGGCCACCAAGGTGAGATGGGGATGGCTCTCCCATGTCCTGGCCACTGTGGGTCAGTGCAGGGTGAGGATGGCATCAGAGATGCTTGGGCCCAGACCACCTCTGGGTAGTGCCTGCTGCCCAGCTCAGCATACTCTAGACATTTCTGGCCAAACTTGCATTGCCCCGGGGAAGTCCACCTCGATGACCCTAACTTGGCCAGGAAAAAAGGGGGTCCACTCAGAGCTTCCCACCTCACACACTGGGTGCCAGGATTGACATTTAAGACCATCCCATCCCCAAATCCTGGTACTCGTCCTCAAAAGAACCAAACACAAGGAGGCAAATACAACCCCGCCCCCATGGTAAAGTTTCCCCGGGACCACGTGGCATGGTCCCCTGGTATCCGCATGTCCTCATCATCCTGACCTAGCACCTAGTACTCAGCCTGGTTTGTGGAGCATTGTGGGGAGTTGCTCCCGGGTCCCTGAACTTGCCCTGGAATCCTCCACCTCCACCTCCCCCAAAAAAGATTCTCTCCAAGCTGCAACTTCACTGGATAGAAACTGCAAACAACCCCAACTTGGGCAATTTAATTTTTCTGTTTACACTTAGCAACCCAAGAACCAAATTTCTGAAATTCTATTGTAAGTGAGCACTAGAAAAATTACTGGGCAGAGAACCTAAAGCAGTATGTACCAAAGATACACAAATAAGAAAGCCCCAGTGGCCAATAAGAATATTTCCTTATAAATTATATAGCACTGCACTGTCATCCCGTTGTTCATCGATTTGCTCGAGTGGGCACCTGTAACGTCTCCATTATGAGACTTGTTGTTACTGTTTTTGGCATATCAAATATGCCATGGATAGCTTGCCAGACTCTGCCATGCTGGCAAGATATTCTCAGTAGCTTGATGGGCTTGAGAGACAGAGGAATCAAATCTGGGTCAGTCGCATGCAAGGCAAACGCCCTACCCACTGTGCTATCGCTCCACTCCAACCCTTATAGATTATCTCGGAGAAAATGAAAAGTGTTGCAGTATTTACTGTAACTAAACTTTCCTTCTTCAAGTCAACATTTGACTTTGCTTTTAAATCAATGTTAGATGGCATTTCTCAATGAGAACAAGAAAATAGCACTATCTAACATAAACTCATAATTATCCCACGATCACATAGGAATCCGGATCTGCCCCTTGCCTCTCTGAGAATATATTCAAACATCTTGCTAAACTCTGTTATGGCGATCACCCAAGCAGCAGGAGGGAAGGGGTAGGAGGAGGGGAATATCTTCTCCTTTTCTGACATCAGAATTTATACCTGAATATTACAGAAAAACAGTGTGTTGGTTTCAGTTTTGTGTCTCTCATATTATCCCATTCTGCATTCCCAAACACACATTCATTTCTCTTTTTTTTTAATTTCAAGGGCTGATAAATACCCTAATCCATTTTTAAGGAAGGAGACACCCAACCCTTAATTCAGGCTCTGTTCTCTTAGACATTATTATCACTACTACTAGCAAGCAATGTTACGCCTTCATCCCATTAGTACTATTAGACTTCTCAAGCACAAGGACCTTAGTAATCACCATATAAAGCCACATCTGGTTAGCTTGAGTCTAAGAAATGCAAGACTATGGTACTGAAATACCAATTTGATCCATTTAAATAAGACAGTAACGTTTGTCAAAAAGCTTATAAACCTTTAAAATATCCTGAATGTAAAATAAAATTTATTATCACCAGGACACTGCAATTCAGGGCCAAAAAAATGCTGCTATGATAGATCTGTAATGAATAAATGAAAAGCAATGTGCTTTTTGGTGTAATCTCCTTTGAAGCAGGTATTAAATTATTAAAGATGTTTCCAGTGTGTACATCAATCAAATCATCCCCAGAAGGAACACTGGGTTTTACACCCCTACACAGCACATAGATGCAATCTCTACACGGTGAAGGGCCTGCAAGGAAGGAAAAGAGAATTCCTTCTACAAGAAACTATATGTTCACGGTGGGAGGGAGCGATTTTATGAAAGAAAAAGAAATACAAAAGGCAATTAGACAATTTGTGTGTTCCTCCTGTCCCCTTCTTTCATCTTGCTATGAAACATCTAACAGTAATCTGGTACCCATCACACAATTCAGAACTGACATCCAGCCCTAGCAGCCAGGCCCCCATGAAGGAGAACGGACTCAGGAGAGAGAGATGCTAACGAGGAGGTCGTAGGCAGGATGACCGCTTGCATCATCAACTGTGCCTTGGGAGTTAGACCATGAGTGATACACAAGGTTATATACT